TTTCCTGCTGATAAATAATATAAAAAAAAATGATAGTGTAAAAGCACTTATTAGGGTTTGGTGTATCATTAATTATTCAAGCTTTTATAACTAAACCATGAATAATAATAATAATAATAATAATAATAATAATGGTTCTCTCCCAGAAGAAGTACACGTGCATGCATGGATGGTTCTGATTTGCTTGTGCGTCGCAACATACACAGTTGCTCTGAACCTAACAGCGACTCTAAAATGGCAAAAAAATTCCCAACCACCTCTCCAAAGCCTTTCTGATTATATCATATTATCATCCTATAAATATATATAAACCCCTTTTGAATCACTTGAACTCGAAACCCGATTTTCTTAATAAAGAACATTATACTATACTATAGCATTAGCATGGACACACCCGTTCTCTTGACCCTAGCAGCTACTCTCCTATCAGCATATTTCCTTTGGTTCCTCCTCTTGGCTCGAACCCTATCCGGCCCAAAAGCATGGCCACTGCTTGGCAGCGTTCCAAGCATGATCGTGAACCGCAATCAGGTTCACGACTTTCTGGCTGCCAACCTGCGCAACACGCTGGGTACTTACCAGACCTGCATCCTCCCTTTTCCTCTCGTCGCACGAAAGGAGGGCTTCTTCACCGTCACCAGCAACCCTAGAAACATCGAACACGTCCTCAAGACGCGCTTCGATAACTACCCCAAAGGCCCGCACTGGCAGGCCGCATTCCACGACCTCCTTGGCCATGGCATCTTCAACAGCGACGGCGACACCTGGCTCATGCAGCGGAAAACCGCCGCTCTCGAGTTCACCACTAGAACCCTAAGACAGGCCATGGCTAGGTGGGTCAACCGGACCATAAAGAACCGCTTATGGTGCATTTTGGACAAAGCGGTTAAGGGAAAGCTTTCGGTGGATTTGCAGGACCTTCTTTTGCGTTTGACGTTTGATAACATATGTGGACTCACCTTTGGTAAAGACCCTCAAACTCTCTCCCCGGATCTACCCGAAAACACCTTCACTGTTGCGTTTGACTCTGCCACAGAAATCACCTTGCAAAGGTAACCCTAAACCAGCCCATAATACTTTTGCTACTACCTTCATTTATCTTCTTTTTTTTTTCTTAACAATTTTTTTTCTAGGAACAGATCTTTTGAATAATAACTAAAAATAAAAGGCCAATATCTCATAACTGTGTGAAGTTATATTTAATAATCTTATAAAAATATACCATAAAATAATTTCAACATTTTTATCCTTCTATTTTTAGGCTTCTGTACCCTGGCATACTATGGAAGTTCCAGAAGCTTCTAAGCATTGGCAAGGAGAGAAAAATGCAGCAAAGTTTGAAGATAGTCGAAACTTACATGAACGAAGCCATTTCAGCTCGGGAGAAGTCTCCCTCCGACGACTTGCTATCAAGGTTCATGAAGAAGCGCGACGCCACCGGAAAGCCGCTGAGCGCCGCCGTACTGCGGCAGATTGCGCTGAACTTCGTCCTCGCCGGCAGGGACACCTCCTCGGTGGCGCTCTCATGGTTCTTCTGGCTCGTCATGAACCACCCCGCCGTGGAGCAGAAAATCATCGACGAACTCACCGCGGTTCTCGCCTCCACGCGCGGCGGAGACCGGCGGAAATGGACAGAGGAAGCGTTGGACTTCGACGAAGCCGAGAAGCTTGTCTACCTGAAAGCCGCGCTGACGGAGACGCTGCGTCTGTATCCATCGGTGCCGCAAGATTTCAAGCACGCGGTGGCGGACGACGTGCTTCCGGACGGCACGGCGGTGCCGGCGGGTTCCACGGTGACATATTCGATCTACGCGGTGGCGAGGATGAAGAGCGTGTGGGGCGAGGATTGCATGGAGTTTAAACCGGAGCGGTTTTTATCAGTTCAGGGAAACCGGTTCGAACCGCCGAAGGACGGTTATAAATTCCTCGCGTTTAACGGTGGACCGAGGACCTGTTTGGGGAAGGACTTGGCTTATCTTCAGATGAAGTCTGTGGCCGCTGCCGTGCTTCTTCGGTACCGGCTGTTGCCGGTTCCCGGTCACCGGGATCAGCAGAAGATGTCGCTCACG